CTCTTTAGGCTGTCCATCCATTTCACCCACACCCTTGTCTCTGCACTGCTGACAGTACTGCACCCAGCAGCGGGCCCCCTGAACACTCCCCTCCTCCCGCCCTGCACCCACAGGGAAGTCCTGCCATGTGTCTGACCACTGACAGCGGGTGGTGACCCACAACAATAACTGTGACAGATCTCCTGGAGTCCTGAGAGCCGCCGGGCCAGCATCTTCATACCCCCATTCCACAGAGCAGTCCACTGAGGTCCGAGCCCGTGGAACGGGCCGCCTGCACTCTTGGGTGTCATGTCTGCTCTGTCCCCTGGACTCCTTCCTGGCAGGACGCCAAGCCCTCAGGGGGCTGGCTCATTCACCTCACGTTCCCACTGGGGACAGCTGGGACATTAGGGTCACCCTAAGGCCAGGAGATTGGAAGCCAGGGCCACACTGCCCCCTGGGGCCAGCATGCCAAAATGCGAGCTCAACAGGCGGCCAGGCTGACCACACAACACCCACTGGAAACCCTCAGGCCCACCCACCAACTGGCAGGGCTTGGCCCGCCCCCCTGAGGTTCCCCCCATCCAGCTGCCCAGGGTGAATAATGGGCACCCTGGGGACGACCCCAGCCCAGCCAGGAGAAACACCTCCTGCGCCTTCTCCTGGCTCCAGGGCCATGAAGCCCACAGTCGCTCACCTGGGGGAAGGCCTCCAGGCAGCCACTCCCTGGCCCGTGTGGTCCCTGCAAGTGTGTGTCCCTACCCACTCGCCGAGGAGCCAGCTTCCCTCCCCTGCACCTCCAACCCTCCCAGGCTTCTCAGGCAGGACACCAGGGATCTGGACCCAGGGGACACAGAAGCAGAAATGACAGCCAGACCTACAGGCTTCCGGAAGGGTCGGGGGCAGAGCCTGCAACCCACCAAGGAGCTGCAGGGCCAGCTTGGACACAGTAGCCAGAGCCTGCAGCCTCCCAGGTTGCAGAGGATGACCACAGGGCCGGGGGGTTGGGGGGTGGGGGTGGGGGGGAACCTATTTCCTCACGCCTGGAAGGACTCTTCCCCACCACAGAGGGCCAGGCTGGACCCTGGATCTGAGCACAGTCCCTGGCCATGCCACCTGGGGACAAACTCGCCCTCAGGGGGCTGGCTCATTCACCTCAAGTTCCCACTGGGGACAGCTTGGACATTAGGGTCACCCTAAAGCCAGGAGATTGGAGGCCAGGGCCACACTGCCCCCTGGGACCAGCATGCCAAAATGCTAGACCTGAGCTGGGTTGTCCCTGTCCTGTGCCAGGGCCTGGGGGAGCAGGGATCGGAGAAGGGGCAGCGAGCGTCTCCGGGCATGACTTCCAGGTGTGACAATGCCCAGGCCCCTGGGCTCAGACCCATCTCTGCATCTTTCCAGCTCTGGGCAGACGCTGTATGCTCCTGCCTGGCTCCCTGTCCTGTGCAGTGGGGCAGTAAGTGCCCTCCCGAGAGAAGGGCAGCACCTGCTCAGCCACAAGGCCCTGCCCCCCAGGGTGGCCTCCCTGCGGTGAGAAGTCGGCCTTGCCAACCCTGACTTAGAGGTTTATCCGCGTCCTTCCTAGGAGTGAAGTGGTCACAGTTGGGCTGCTAACCGCAAGGTCGGTGGTTCAAAACCACCAGCTGCTCTGGGGAAGGAAGACGAGGCTGTCGACCCCCATAAAGGCTGATTCTCCGAGACCCCCGGGGCAGTTCTATCCTGCCCTGTAGGGTTGCCACGTCGGCATCCAGGAGACAGCAGTGAGTTCTAGCTGCAGCAAGGAGATCAAGATGTGGCTCTGTCTCTATCTGGGCTGCACGCTGCGAGGCCGGCGGCTGGAGCCCACGTGCCATTGGAGGAGTGGGCAAGCATTGTCTGCTAACCACAAGGTCAGCCGTTCAAAACCACAGTGGCTCTAGAGGAGAAAGACAGGGCTTTCTAATCCCATAGCGCTACACTCTGGAGACTCACAGGACAGAGGGCAGTTCTACCCTGCCCTCTAGGGGACCCATGTCGGCATCCCCTCGATGGCCGATGGCCGTGAGGGCTGTTCTGTGGAAGACAGGGCTGACCAGGCTCTCGGGCCACAGCCTGGAAAACCCTGATGCCCTAACCAAAGACCCCAGGACAGCCGGACGCGGCCCTGCTGGGTCCCTGTGAGTCGGAACCAACGTGATAATGTTTTCATCAAGCGGAGGGGTCTGGGAGCTCACGCTTGGCCTCCGGATCTGGGGGCATCTGAGTGTGCCGGGTACCCTGCATCAAGTCCCAACCAGGCTGCTCGGGGCCCCCTCTGTCCCCTCTCCTCCCTCCTCGGTCTTACCAGCTGCAGTGGCAGTTGAAGCAACCGGGGACTCAGATGGGGACATGGAGGGGGCCCCAGCAGGGCTACTCCTGGTCTCAGCTCCCAGACCTGGACGAGGATGGGGCACATGCGTGTGGCCCCCCACACAGCCGCCTCAGAGTCAGCTGGACAGCTGGACAGCACCCCCCACCCCCACCAGCAGCACTCCTGTCCCCTGGTGGCATGTTATCGGAAACAACAAAAAGGTGTGTGGTTCCCCAGCAAACCCACCAAGGCCAGCACCGGGAAGGGATGC